GCGGGAGAGATTTTCGAAAACCAACAAGAAATCACGACTCTCGAGCGGTGCGCATGTGGCATGACGAACGAGCGAGAATGTCCTCTGCGCTCGAACTCGAGAGACGCGAGGCGGAAAGGGGGTGAGGGGGGTCAAAGGAAGGACAAAATGAGGTGGGCGACGCACGAATCTCGCGAAGTCCGCCGAGGTTTCTTCAATGCTAGCACGCGCCAGTCCGCACCTGTGTGGAGCCGCGCTAAAATTCTTCAAACCGTGACGGGGTCACCTTGTTCAACGTGTCCTCCACCTCTCCACCTCTCTCCTGCCGATGACTCCGGCTCCGCTTCGCCTCCTCTGCCGCGTGTGGTTCGGCGCAACCCTCGCCGTGGCGTGCCTCCTCCTCGGAGCTGCTACTCGCGTCCTCCACCTGCTCCCCATCTCGCTCGAGTTGAGTGAAGACCTGTCGGTCTCGACTGCAGCCGTTCTCTTCCGGCTGATGTTGCGCGTCAATCCACAGATCCGAGTCATCAACACGGTGCGACACGTGCCGGATGTCAAACTAAGCCATCCGGAACATGGAAATGCCGTCTCTGCCTTAGGCCCGCGAAGCCGACTGGGATCGACTCGCGGCCTGCTCGCCGGCGATGATCCTGATGAACCACACCTCCTTCTTCGACTTCTTCCTCTTCACCGCGCTGCTGCCGCCCCGGTTCGTCCGCCGGGCGCACGTGCGCACTGTGATGTCCGCCTCGATCGCCCAGCTCCCTTTCCTGGGGCGGAGCATCGGCGACCATGCAGGCTCGTTCAAGGTCTACTTCCAGGCCAAGGGCGCTGGGTTTGGCAAGGGCGACGCGTCCGACTTCTCGGTCGACAGGGCTCGCCAGGAGGCGGAGACGGCGCGGATGGAGGCGCGCAGACCAGCCGAGATTGGCCGAGATTGGCCGAGGTTAGCCAGTAGGAGGCGGAGGCGGCGCAGAGTGCAGACGTCCTCCCGCGCACGCACATCGCTCGGGGATAGAGGAGATCGCTCGCAGCACATGCCCGCGCCACCCCCAGGCGCACATCAAGAGGCGCGGAGTCCTCGCCTTCTGCCCGGAGGGCGGCATGAACAAGACGCCGTCGGAGCGACTCAACCCGTTCCGCCGCGGCTCCTTCGCGCAGGCACCTGCGCGCCGCCCGCGCGCCTCTACACCCCTCTCTCCTCGCACCCCGCTCTCCACCCACGCAGGCGGCAAAGTACTCCACTCCCATCTGGGGCGCGGCCCTGCACGGCAGCACGGCCGCCTGGCCGCGCGACGCCCTCTTGGGCGGCGACCCCAGCACCGTCGCCCTCTCGCTCGAGCAGCTGACGCTGCTGCCTCCGCCGGTGGCCACCGCCACGGCAAAGCCTGCCGAGGCAGCACCTCCGCGAGTGAATAGAGCGCCTCTCTTCACGCCTCCAGCTGTGAACAGGCCGCCGACCTCGCCGAGGCTTGCCAGGAGGCGATGCAGCGGCAGGTGGACCGCCTCGCGACGCTTGCGCGGGGAGGGGCGCGCACTGAGGGAGGCGCGACACGCGCGCGGGCTTCCTAGCGCGGCCAGCGCGCGCCCGATGGCCACTCGTACTCCCAAGGAGGCGGAGAGAGAGCATACATGGTACCATGATCGCATGAGTGGTGTCCCCTGCACTGGCCGCTACTGACGTACTGAGTACTGTCATCTCATGACCTTCATGAAGACCTTGTCCTTGATCATTACAATATTTAATGGCTGTGATGTGTGAACGAAACACCCCGGCCCCGCGCCCACCCAGAAAGTCGAAAGACGAACCGGAGAATCTCACACTTTCCGTGGAACCGCGTAAAAATCAATAACGGTCAAACTGCAGGGCGCGGGGACCTGTTAGGACGGCGACCGCCTCCACTGTGAACCACTTTTGATGCCTAATCTCAAAGTATAGCCAGGGGGGATACCCGTAGCCCCCAAAGTGAACTGCCTGATCGACTCCCCGGCACACGGCGGAGGAGGAGGAAGACAGCACAACCCAGGGCGGGAAGAGCACAATGCTCAGGGTGGGACAAAACACCGACAGACGAGAGAAGAGGCCACAAAACAGACAAGCAGAATGGCAAGAGAGAGACGCTCTGCAGGCGAGCCCACGGGCCTCTTGGGCCCTCGCGTCTCTCTCTCTCGATTCGTTACACCGATTCGACCATCAATGCGGCGGGCCGATTTCGACCCATCACAAATGTGGGAAGCCATTAACCTCCCTTGGCTTCCCACACAAACCCCCCTTCATGGGGGGAGCAGCAAATGAGGTAGTCTCTGCGAAATCACTGTCCCAGTGAATTCGCCCTAGACGCCTCCGTGTGGACTCGCAGCTCCGGCTGGATGTCGGCGACCTAAAGCTCGGCGGTCGTCGCTTCGCGCCGGCCGACTCCCTGTAGGACGGCGACCGCCTCCACTGTGAACCACTTTTGATGCCTAATCTCAAAGTATAGCCAGGGGGGATACCCGTAGCCCCCAAAGTGAACTGCCTGATCGACTCCCCGGCACACGGCGGAGGAGGAGGAAGACAGCACAACCCCATCGCCAATCCTGTCGAGGTCGATCCACCGTCTCGCGCGTGAATCGGCCGCGACCTCCACCTCGAGGCGAGGGCCCACCCTTGTGTCGAGTGCCCCTCCAATAGCTCAGTAGAAGCGCGAAGTGTTCTACGGCCGCGACCATCACCATCGTAGGTCCTTGCACTGCGACTGCGCCACCGGCCAAGCTCCAGTGCGGTTGACCCCCATCCAGGAACTGCCCGACGATAGGGCTGTCGCCTCATCCATGCCGCTGACCGCGCCCAGCAGCGGGTGCTCGCCGCTGTCCACGGACGCGGCTCGTCAGGCGGCGCGGTGCCGCCGGCTGCGGCTGTCCCGGCCGTCGCGTCCTCGAGAGAGGCGAGCGAGCCGGCAGCAGAGCCCGTATGGCCCTCACCGCCACAGCCGCTCTGCCTGCTGACCTCGCTCTCGCCGCCGCCGCCTGCAGCGGCGCCTCCGCGGCTCCGAGAGGACATGGTCCGCGGCCGCGCCTCGTCGAGCGCCTCGTCGACGCCCTCGGCGACGCCTCCTCGCGTCGCGTGCCCGTGAGCGGCGGCCGCCCCGCCGGCAGAGCTCGAGTGGCCCTCCACGCCACCCCGAGACTGCCCGGCGATGGTGCTTTCGTCGCCGCGCGTTGCCGCCGCTGCCTCGCAGCGGCTCTGTGCCTCGGCGCCGAGCCGAGACATGCCAGGCGGCCCGCCGCCGCCCACCGAGACGAGGCCCGCCCCCTCGTCGTGCACCGCGTCGCTCGCGCCTCCGCCAAAGCGATCTCGATCACGCCTTGCGGCGACGGCGCCATCGACGCCGACTTGAGCCGCTGACCGCGCCCAGCAGCGGGTGCTCGCCGCTGTCCACGGACGCGGCTTGTCAGGCGGCGCGCTGCCGCCGGCTGCAGCGACGGCTGTCCCGGCCGTCGCGTCCTCGAGAGAGGCGAGCGAGCCGGCAGCAGAGCCCGCATGGCCCTCACCGCCCCAGCCGCTCTGCCTGCTGACCTCGCTCTCGCCGCCGCCGCCTGCAGCGGCGCCTCCGCGGCTCCGAGAGGACATGGTCCGAGGCCGCGCCTCGCCTAGCGCCTCGTCGACGCCCTCGGCGACGCCTCCTCGCGTCGCGTGCCCGTTCGTGGCGACCGCACCGCCGGCAGAGCTCGAGTGGCCCTCCACGCCACCCCGAGACTGCCCGTCGATGGTGCCTCCGTCGCCGCGCGTTGCCGCCGCTGCCTCGCAGCGGCTCTGCGCCTCGGCGCCGAGCCGAGACATGCCAGGCGGCCCGCCGCCGCCCACCGAGACGAGGCCCGCCCTCTCGTCGTGCACCGCGTCGCTCGCGCCTCCGCCAAAGCGATCTCGGTCACGCCTTGCGGCGGCGGCGCCATCGACGCCGACTTGAGCCGCTGCCCTCGCCCAGCAGCGGGTGCTCGCCGCTGTCCACAGGCGCGGCTTGTCAGGCGGCGCGGTGCCGCCGGCTGCAGCGACGGCTGTCCCGGCCGTCGCGTCCTCGAGAGAGGCGAGCGAGCCGGCAGCAGAGCCCGCATGGCCCTCACCGCCACAGCCGCTCTGCCTGCTGACCTCGCTCTCGCCGCCGCCGCCTGCAGCGGCGCCTCCGCGGCTCCGAGAGGACCCGGCCCGCGGCCGCGCCTCGTCGAGCGCCTCGTCGACGCCCTCGGCGACGCCTCCTCGCGTCGCGTGCCCGTGCGTGGCGACCGCACCGCCGGCAGAGCTCGAGTGGCCCTCCACGCCACCCCGAGACTGCCCGGCGATGGTGCCTCCGCCGCCGCGCGTTGCCGCCGCTGCCTCGCAGCGGCTCTGTGCCTCGGCGCCGAGCCGAGACATGCCAGGCGGCCCGCCGCCGCCCACCGAGACGAGGCCCGCCCCCTCGTCGTGCACCGCGTCGCTCGCGCCTCCGCCAAAGCGATCTCGATCACGCTTTGCGGCGACGGCGCCATCGACGCCGACTTGAGCCGCTGCTCTCGCCCAGCAGCGGGTGCTCGCCGCTGTCCACGGACGCGGCTCGTCAGGCGGTGCGGTGCCGCCGGCTGCAGCGACGGCTGTCCCGGCCGTCGCGTCCTCGAGAGAGGCGAGCGAGCCGGCAGCAGAGCCCGTATGGCCCTCACCGCCACAGCCGCTCTGCCTGCCGACCTCGCTCTCGCCGCCGCCGCCTGCAGCGGCGCCTCCGCGGCTCCGAGAGGACCCGGCCCGCGGCCGCGCCTCGTCGAGCGCCTCGTCGACGCCCTCGGCGACGCCTCCTCGCGTCGCGTGCCCGTGCGTGGCGACCGCACCGCCGGCAGAGCTCGAGTGGCCCTCCACGCCACCCCGAGACTGCCCGGCGATGGTGCTTTCGTCGCCGCGCGTTGCCGCCGCTGACTCGCAGCGGCTCTGTGCCTCGGCGCCGAGCCGAGACATAGCCAGGCGGCCCGCCGCCGCCCACCGAGACGAGGCCCGGCCCCTCGTCGTGCACCGCGTCGCTCGCGCCTCCGCCAAAGCGATCTCGATCACGCTTTGCGGCGACGGCGCCATCGACGCCGACTTGAGCCGCTGCTCTCGCCCAGCAGCGGGTGCTCGCCGCTGTCCACGGACGCGGCTCGTCAGGCGGCGCGGTGCCGCCGGCTGCAGCGACGGCTGTCCCGGCCGTCGCGTCCT